TGCATCACATCAGCAAGTTTATGAATTGCCAGCTTGACCAGTTAGTCTGGAAGTGTCTGTAGCTCAGCTTGAGAAATGAGCCAGTTTTTCTCAGAAATTGTTATCAAAACAAGCCTCAGGTTGCTCACACTGTGCCAGCTCAATTCACAAATTTTTAGGCCAGGAGAAATCATTCCAGTTTTTATGTGGCTGATTTTCTGCAAAGATTCTTTTCTGTGGAGAAGTTTTTTGTCTCTTTTGTTTACTTGAGTGTTTTCATCAGAATCCCACGGGACCACTTTTGCAGAATTTGGCCCAGATCATAGTTGCTGTCTAAAATTAATCAATCAAGGCTCTGACAAAAAATAATTACCTAACAGTTTAATTGCTTTTAAGAAAGGTTAATCATGATGTTTTGTGGAGCTGCCTTTCAGGACAGCAGATGACATCTTTCACAAGATTATTTATTTCTGTGCTCACTTGTTTGCATGCTGGAGAATGGCAGAGTTCAGTTATCCTTCCAGTGAGAATGAAGCACAAATAAACTCTGTTTCTAGGATTATCTGGGAAGTTTTTGGATGTGCAAAATATGTTACTCCCCCATCCTCCTGTAAAGCTCTTTGATTTGCAGAATGGCCTTTTTTTTAATACACTTTCTCTCAGGTGCTTTCCCTAAGTCAAATTAAACTCAGTTATTTACTGCACAGAAAAATGTGATGCTTGTGACTGGAACATTGTAGTTCAAGTTCAGATTTTCTGACTGGGTTGAAAGGAGTTGTTTAAGGGATACCTTGGATTGCTGTGCCTGAGACATCTCCTCTCAGTGGTGGTTGTGCTTCAGAGCAGCTCAAAATCAAATTCCACTGTTTTGCATTCCAGGTATCTGCTCATCTGAAACTTCAAGAGAAAGATGAAGGGAGGAGAGAAATGGTATGTACACTGCCCATCAAACTGGAATTTGGGGGATGCCAAGAAGTGAGCTCTGTAAAGCAGACATTTTTATCTGACATTGAGCTGCACTGGACTTGCAGTGACAGAATAATTCATATTCTCTAGGCTGACATGTGCATTAGGAGGGAATGTTCACTGCAGTCTCCATGAAAGCTGCTTTCAGTACAAGACTGGAAAATTGGGAAAGGTTCACTGAAACAAATCCACAGGTTCTGCAGGATTCCTGTTAATGCACCTTGGGTTCTCCAATGTGCATCTCATGTGGGGTGAGATAAATCACCCAGCTGGACTTGCATGAGGACCTGTGCTCCTCCAACCCATCCATGGAGAAAAGCACAACTTTTCCTGAAATATGAAACCTGTGGCAATTTCCTAGGTAGATCAGCTGGTTTTGTGATTGTCCTCTCTCTGTGTTTATTTCCAAATTGGAGCAATGGGCATTTCTTCAGACTCAAAAGAACCCTTGAAAATCAGAAAGGGAAACTTACAGGAATCAACTTGTTGTGAAAAAAAGAAGCACAGGTTATTTTCTTATTGGAAAATATATTTCTATAGAAACAGCTGTTAACTTAATTTTACTTTGGAAGCCTTAGTTCATTTACACTTTAGTGAAGTTAGGCCAAGCAAGTTAATTCACTTGTTCACACTGTCACTGTAATTACAAGCAGCTCTTTGAGTTAAAATCTGTGCTGTGTTTATTCAACACATGTTAGAAGAATTTTCTAGTTCATGTGCAGGAGAAGATAATTAGTTTTATTGTTGTAAATTGGAGGATAAATGTTTATCACAGATAAATGTTATGAATTTATACACTTGTGTCAGCAGGATTGCAGACTCCTGTTTAAAGCAGGGACCATGAAAATCCTCAGGTGAACCACAGTTTATGTTTCTAGTTGTCCTTGCTTGTGCTGCCTGAGTCCTGTTTACCCTTCTCAGAGATAAAGGGAATGAGGCAGTTGGGTTTTTTTCTCTGAGAAGCAAGGCTTGGTGGGTTTTGTTATTTTTTTACTCCCCCTTTCTGGGAGAGAGAACTCCTGGCAATCAAAATCAGGACAAGCAAAGGGTCAGGCCCTGGTTGGGGTCAGCAGTTTTCACCAGGTCAGGCACTCTTTCTGGAGAACTCTCTCCATCCAAGCAATTGATGCTTTGAAAAATGGTGGGCTCTGTTTCCTAAACTTCAGTGAAGTATTAAATGTCTGGGCTGCTTTCTACCTTTGAAGTGGTGGAGTTTGTTAATTGAATGAGCCATGTAGCTCATGGATTCACTCATTTTTGTGTCCATGCTTTTATTGAAGCCAAAGAGCCATTTTCCATATATAGGAATGCCAGCCCAGATCTACACTCACTGAAACAGAAAAAAATCCTAGAGCCTGGGATTGTTCTCCTTTTGCTCCAAAAGCCCTGGGACGAGCTGTGCCCTCCTGAGGCTGTGCCTTGAGGGAATCCCAAACATCTGAGAGTCCCTGTGACAACTGCATTGACCCTGAGTGGAATGAAAACACTTGAAATCAATGGCTGCACTTGAAAGAGGAGACTGTGGAGAAGAGATGAGATAAAGCAGGTCACTGCTCCACAGAATCCTCTGGTTTTTGTTATAGATCCCTGGTAGAGACAGCCCCAGAGTTCTACTGAAAGAGGCTTCTTGGTTTCACTGTGTAAGAGCCCCTCACAGGCTGCAAAGCTCTTTTGATGTCAGTGCCGTGCCCATAAATACACAGCTACAGAAGAGCTGATTTCCACTCCTTCTTCACCTCTTCACTGAGTGAGGTCATGCAGGACAAACAAGCAGAATTTGGGTCAAAACAGTAAATGGCAGAAAAACCTGTCAACACTGAGTCTAATAAATGACTAATAAATACATTAGATGGGAAAAGGCTTTACGTGGGCGATGGAACAAAGTTGTGAGCTGGTCTGCACCCTCCATGAAAATCCGTGAAGGGGCTGGAGGTTTGTCATGTTCCAACACTCTGGAATGTTCTGCTCCCTCCAGGTGAAGGAAATCCTGACAGCCCTTGGTTTGCTGACTTGTGCCAACACGAGGACTGGGAGTCTCTCTGGGGGCCAGAGGAAACGCCTGGCCATTGCTCTGGAGCTGGTGAACAACCCCCCTGTCATGTTCTTTGATGAACCCACCAGGTACTTCAAGGCCAAAAATCAAACATAGACAAAAATGCTTTTGCATAGTAGAACACAGCTACAGAAAAGCCATTCCCCTCTAAATCCTTGGAAAAAGCTCATTTTGTGTTGTCTGCAAGCGCTGAATTAGGCCAAGAAATAATTTGATTTGGGTTCTTGGTGCCTTGGGTCACTGCTGGAACTGCTGGGCTGTGGGGCTGTAAGTAAAATTTAAAGCAGACACAAACTGGTGGGTTGTAGGTTTGTAAATGATATTTAAAGCAGACACAAACTGCTGTGGACTATGGGGCTGTAAGTAATATTTAAAGCATTCACAACCTGGAAGGAAAGGAAGGAAAAGAGAGGAAAATATTGTGGCACGGATTTTATTTTTCAAGCAAAGACTGCTTGAATGTAAACATTTTAAAATGTGACTTTTGGTAATGAATGTGATCAGTCTGGGAGGAGGCTGGCAAAGCTATGAATATGTATCTGTTCATTAAAGCTGGGAGCATTCAAATCTGCAGCCCTAAAATGTAGAAGTCCCTTAAGGCAGCTTTGACAATACTCTTTTTCATTCTCAGGCATGCTTCCAACTTAATTAAAAGCCTGATGGAGAAGTTACAAGCATAAGGTTGGCATATGATAAAATGAAACTGCTACAGAGAAGATTTGTCAAAGGATAATAATGGGATACCTTGCAGCAAATGCATGTGCTGGTTTTGAGCGGTGCCTGTGGATAATAAACTTGTTTGGGTTTTTTTTGCAGTGGCTTGGACAGTGCATCATGTTTTCAGGTGGTCTCTCTGATGAAGGCTTTGGCCCAGGGTGGCAGATCCATCATCTGCACAATTCACCAGCCCAGTGCAAAACTGTTTGAGCTCTTTGACCAGGTATTGCTCTCAGACTTTCTCTGCATGTGTAGCTCAGGGTGCTTATGCTTTCAAGGCATAACCACCTCTTAATCAAAAAAACATGAATAATTCTGGTTGATGGCTACAAATCATATAAAGAAATTAAATAAATAACAGCAAAATAGACTTTTTAATTTTTTTTTCCTTTATTTATGCGTAATGTTTGTGAAGAATCTTGCTGTTATCAAGACCATTGCACTGGTGATTATGATGCCCTCACCCTTGCACAGGGCTGTCACTGAGGTAAATCAGAGCAATATAAAAGCAGGAGAGCTGCAGTGTCAATGTCTGCAATAGATCTGTGTATCCTAGATACACAGGTGTAGATTGAGAAGAGTTAATTCACATGAAATAATAATAATAATAATCAAATTTAGTATTGAAAATTAATTGAAATGAAGTCAGTCAGAGAACTTTTCTCCAAGCCAACAATGGCATGTGGACCACGTGTGTTTAGGTTAGATAAAAAATGTATTTTAGTCTTGTCAGAGGGTTTAGATTAGCCCTGTGAGAGCTGAGAGAAAACCTCCACCACCACAGGTGAACAAACTCTTGCAGATTGCCAGTCTGGCAGGGAGGTTTATTTAAAGTCAAAATCGTGGCTAAAAGTGAGAGTGATGGAGCTGTTTGCTGTTGCTGTGCTGTCCCAGCTCTCCTTCTATCCCTGCCCAAAATATCCATAATGTGTGGAAATTAGATGGCTTGGCTCTCCAGCTCCTTGCCTATTTTCAGCATGTGCCAAAGGCTGGAATGAGTGTGTTTCTGTGTTAATGTGTTTGAAGTCCTGCAGGCTATGTGTGCAGAATTCCAGCTCCAGGCATTACATTTTCCATTAGCTGAGATTCCATGCAAAGTTAATTTCGAGTGGTGACAGATCTTCCCAAGGTGTTCTTCCCACAGGGACAAGGAGATGTTATCAGGCAACAGGTTCAAATATTTTGATGCTATCTCACTTTTTTCTTATTTATTTTCCTTTCCTTTCCTTTCCTTTCCTTTCCTTTCCTTTCCTTTCCTTTCCTTTCCTTTCCTTTCCTTTCCTTTCCTTTCCTTTCCTTTCCTTTCCTTTCCTTTCCTTTCCTTTCCTTTTCCTTTCCTTTCCTTTCCTTTCCTTTCCTTTCCTTTCCTTTCCTTTCCTTTCCTTTCCCTTCCCTTCCCTTCCCCTTCCCTTCCCTTCCCTTCCCTTCCCTTCCCTTCCCTTCCCTTTCCCTTCCCTTCCCTTCCCTTCCCTTCCTTCCCTTCCCTCTCCCTTCCCTTCCCTTTTCCCTTCCCTTCCCTTCCCTCCTTTCTTTTTCTTTTTCTTTTTCTTTTTCTTTTTCTTTTTCTTTTTCTTTTTCTTTTTCCTTTTTCTTTTTCTTTTTCTTTTTCTTTTTCTTTTTCTTTTTTCTTTTTCTTTTTTTTCTTTTTTTCTTTTTTTCTCTTTTCTTTTCACTGTTGAGACTATGGACCTATGGACCAGTCTACCCAGATGATCTCAACCTCCCTTAAAGAGGATTTTTCAATTAAAAGTGGTGTCAAAACTTAAAGAACTTCGTTATTCTTGGTTGAGACTATTCCACATTTTTTCTCAATTCTTTTTTTTTTCTATTTCCTTTTTTTTTTTCCTTCTTGTTTTCCAGCTCTATGTTCTAAGTCAAGGTCAGTGCATTTACCGTGGGAAGGTAACAAACCTTGTCCCTTACCTGAGAGATTTGGGGCTGAATTGTCCAACCTACCACAACCCAGCAGATTTTGGTAAGGACAGCTTGAATAGTTTATTTAATTTATTTTGTATTTTATCATTTTATAATTTTATCACCTTCAGGGTAAAGGGAACCATGGTGTGATTTATACTTCCGTACATATATTCTTATGTGCTTTGTCCATATATCAACCAAAATAAAAGTAATCAGATTTTTTTTTTCCAAAGTAATTTGAATGCCACCTAGTGGTGCAATTTAGCGAATATTGCTCTCTGTTAGAAGTGCAGGAAATAAAAGATAAAGTGTATTCTTTAGTGTTTCATAGTAACTAATATTAGTAACTTTTTAAAGTGGCTTCAGTTTTTCTGTTTGTTTTCTTTTTATCTTGAGCAGTAGTACAGCTTAGAGCATTGAGGGTTTTTTCAGTGTGCTTCTTAATTTTAAAAAATAATGGAAAGTGCCACAAAAATAGACTTTTGTCTATTTTCTGTATAAAAATGAACTGGTTCATTTAACTTCCAGGATGAAGAGATCTCTCTGAAGATTTATGGAAAGATAAATTAAAAAATTTAAATGTTGTTTGCGTGTGGATATGAATTTGCACGTGGCATTTTAAAGCCTGTACAAAAAAAAAATTAAAAAATTAAAAAAAAATTAAAATTTTTTTAAAAAAAATTAAAAAGTTAAAAATCTGGTTTTTGTCAGTGCATCAAGGGGATTTAACAACAAATCTGGTCAGCAGTAACTTCAGCCTTTGCAAAGCAGTAATTTCTAACTTCAACCCTTGTAAAGCAGTAACTTCAGCCTTTGCAAAGCAAGTGATTTGTAATTTCACCCTTTGCAAGGCAGTAACTTCGAGCTGTGTTTTTCAGTGATGGAAGTGGCCTCGGGTGAGTACGGGGACCAGAGCAGCCGCCTGGTCAGGGCGGTCAGGGAGAGGATTTGTGACTCCGACTACAAGAGGGACGCGCCCGGGGAGCACGAGCTGAACCCCTTCCTGTGGCACCGGCCCTCTGAGGAGGTACTCTGTGCATCTCTGCAGGGAAGGGCAGGGGGATTTAACCCTCCCTCGGTGGAGGAGGGCCCTGGGCACACTCAGCTGATGTGAGTGGGCTTTGGGCTTCCGTTTGTGAATGAAAAGCGAAGCTGCAGGGGAAGGGGTTTGTTCTGTGTGTGTTCCTGCAGGACTCCTCCTCCACGGAAGGCTGCCACAGCTTCTCTGCCAGCTGCCTCACCCAGTTCTGCATCCTCTTCAAAAGGACCTTTCCTCACCATCATGAGGGATTCGGTAAGAATTAAGTTGTAATCACTTCTGTGGCCAAAAGGTCTGTCCAGCTGGGTGGGAGGCTCCTCAAAGGTCCTGTCCAGCAGCCCACCCATGAATTATCACAGAATTGCAAAGGCAAGAGGCTGATCTCTCTGTCTTGCTGTTAACTCTGCCGTCTTCATTGTCAATTACAGCTTTCTACTCAGAAGCACCTGGCCTAAAAAACCCAAAGTTCAAATCCCCTCTGTGCTGGCAGGTCCCTTATACAGTATTAATCCTACTGAAAAGTGAGTGGGAAGTTGTAGTGCTGTGTCACAAAATTAGGTTTTCCAGAAAATTCAGGATGGAGGAGATAATAACTTCAGTGTGATGTAATGTTACCACTTAAAATCTTCATTTTTGTAAATGAAAGTTGGTAGATAAAAACTTTGCTTCTTTGCCATAATTTGTTCTCCCTTCCTCCTTTTTATAAGTGCATTTGTCAACGGGGATTAATTAAGTTAAATGGATTAAAATCAGGAGAAACTGCAACTGATTTGCTGATGCATAGATTGAAGGACAATGTTGTTTTTAATAATTTTTTTTCCTGCTCAACTCTAAAGGCTTGCAATTGTTCCCAATGTTATTATTTCTCTTGTTCTTCCCAGCCTCTTGTGGGAATACTGTGTTGCAGAGAAGGCACAGAAAGCTAATTTATTCCTGATGAACTTACTTGGGTCTACACAAGCCTGAAATGTCTTTTCTGCTTCTCTTCTGCTCTGGGGAAATTTATCTTTTAGTCAGAAAGTCTCTTTCCCCTGAAGAATAAGAGCCAGTGGCTCCATGATATTGTCAGACAGGGAGATTTCAGCTTGCAGCATTTGCAGTTCCTGCCTCTGTTACCTGGAAGAAATTTTCGTGGGAAGCTCATAGTTTTTGTAGGAAATGACATTTCTCATGACAGGGCATTGGAACTTGGTGATCTTTAACTTTCCAACCCAAACCACTCCATGGTTTCTATATAAGATTTTCTGGGCATAAGTGCTCCTTTTCCTGCGATCTATCCAGTTTCAGCCCCACTGTCACTGTTTTTGAGCCCAGGCTCCCTGATAAAATGCCACTCTTTGCTTCCCACAGGTCCTGACACACCTGAGGATCACCTCACACATTGGCATTGGGCTGCTCATTGGATTGCTCTACTTGGGCATCGGAAATGAGGCCAAGAAAGTCCTCAGCAACTCGGGGTTCCTCTTTTTCTCCATGCTGTTCCTCATGTTTGCTGCTCTCATGCCCACTGTCCTCACCTGTGAGTGCTGGGTGCTGTGTCACAGCACAGGGAGGGGGTGCTGGAATGCTGGAATGTGTCTGGGTTGCTGACTTGGGATTCTGCCTCTAAGACAGGTGTGGGATAAAACCTTGCACCCCCAGAAGCAGTGCAGTGCAAGCAGGAACAGGCTGGGCCAGTGGCTCTGCTCCCTGCCCAGTTTTCCCAGTGTTTTCCAGCACAGACAGTTCAGTGTTACAGTCCTGGACTGGAATTTCTCCTTATCCCAGTGCATCTCAGCCATGCCCTGAGCTCGTGGTTGGACTTAGGGAGGATGGAGTAATTTATCTGGGGCTTCCAAGTTATGATTCCTGCATAAAATCAGCTCATTCATGTGGTGTCAGAAGCAAACTCCTGCAGAATGCACTGTTTCATAGCTGCTCTGTTACTCTGGATTCCCTGTTGGACCACAAAGAATAACCAAGTTCTTTAAGTTTTGACACCACTTTTAATTGAAAAGTCCTCTTTAAGGGAAGTTCAGATCATCTGAGTAGACTGGTCCATAGTCCCAACAGTGAGCAGCTCTAGGGGCTGACCTTTTATATCTCATTACAAATCACTGACACTTTTGCTGCTCTGTCAAAAACCTGAGGGTTCTAGTCCCACCCTGGGACTGCAGCAGTGCAGGATTAGACAGGGATAAATCTTGGTTTTATGTGTTTAACAACAACATTTGAGTTGTTTCTATGTGAAGCAGCATTGCACCTGCCAATCTGACAGAATAATCTGTGTTCTCTGCAGTTCCCCTTGAGATGGGAGTATTTCTCAGAGAGCATCTGAACTACTGGTACAGCCTGAAAGCCTATTACCTGGCCAAGACCATGGCTGATGTTCCATTCCAGGTACATGCTCTACTCTTCAATAAAACAGAACCATTTCAGTTCATGAATGACAAGCCCTCTTGCCAAGAAGATTAGTACTGGTATTTTATCCATTGGAATAGTGGGGAAAATGTCCAGATGTGTCTGGTGAAGCTTCAGGGATGAATCAGAATTCCCAGAATCCCTGGGTTGGAAGAGACCTTCAAGATCATCGAGTCCAGCCCAGCCCCAACCCCTCAACTGAACCCTGGCACCCAGTGCCACATCCAGGCTTTGTTAAACACACCCAGGCATGGGGACTCCACCACCTCCCCGGGCAGCCATTCCAGAACCTTCTCACCCTCGCTGGAAAAACCTTTTCCCTGCTCTCCAGCCTGGATTTCCCTTGGTGCAGCTGGAGGCTGTGTGCTCTGGCTGTGTCAGTGCTGCTGGAGAAAGAGCCCAGGGCCAGCTGAGCACAGGCCCCTTTCAGGAGCTGTGCAGAGTGAGGAGGGCAGCCCTGAGTCACTCCAAGCCTCATTCAAGGCAGTGTGGTGGTGTTCACAGGGGACTCAGGAGAAGGGAAGTGATGAGAATCTTGACTCCACGTTTCAGAAGGCTGATTTATTATTTTATGATATATATTATATTAAAAGAAAATGATATACTAAAGCTATACTAAAGAATAGAAGAAAGGATTTCGTCAGAAGGCCATAAAGGAGTAGAAAGGAATGGAATGATAATAAAATCTTGTGACTGACCAGAGAGTCCAAGACAGCTGGACTGTGATTGGCCATTAATTAAAAGCAACCCCATGAGACCAATCACAGATGCACCTGTTGCATTCCACAGCAGCAGATAACCATTGGTTACATTTTGTTCCTGAGGCCTCTCAGCTTCTCAGGAGGAAAATTCCTAAGGAAAGGATTTTCCATAAAAGATGTGTCTGTGACACTTGCCCACGTTTTTGTGTCAGTGAGTGTCTGGCTGTCAGGGGCTCACTGCCAGTGCTTGTCCTTGCAGATCATGTTCCCTGTGGCCTACTGCAGCATCGTGTACTGGATGACCTCCCAGCCCTCGGACGCGCTGCGCTTCGTGCTCTTCGCTGCCCTGGGCACCATGACATCCCTGGTGGCTCAGTCACTGGGCCTGCTCATAGGGGCAGCCTCCACATCCCTGCAGGTACTTGTCCTGCTTTGAACAGGCAGGTGTCTGCTGAAGAAGGCAGGAGCCTCTCTTGAAATGGAAGATATAAACCTTATCTCTCCAAATTATTATGATTTTGAAATTAAGGGGCTCTCGGGCAAAGATATGGGAGTAGGAATAACAGTTCTTTATTAGGGAAAAAATAAAAATACAAATGCAATAATACAAAGACAAAACAAAAAAACCCCAAAACCAAAACCCTGACAGAGTCAGAACAGGAGCTGACACCCTGTGGGTCAGGGTGGTGGCAGCAGTGCCATTCCATGGTGGCTGCAGCCCTCCTGCCTCCCTTGAAATGGAGAATGCAAACTCCCTCCCTCCAAATTACTAAAATTTTGAAATTAAAGGGGCTCTCAGGCAAACATATGGGAGTAGGAATAACAGTTCTTTACTAGGAAAACTAAAAATACAAACGCAATAGTACAAACAAAAAAACCCGACAGAGTCAGAACAGGATCTGACCCCATGTGGGTCAGGGTGGTGGCACCATTCAGTCGTAGCTGCAGCCTTCCTGCCTCCCTTGAAATGGAGAATGCAAACCCCCTCTGAATTATTATAATTTTGAAATTAAGGGGCTCTCAGGCAAAGATATGGAAATAAGAATAACAGTTCTTTATTAGGGTAAAAATAAAAATACAAATGCAATAGTACAAACAAAAAAAACTTCACTGCCGGAGTCAGAGCAGTCCCTGTCCCCCTGTGTGTCAGGGGGTGGCACAGCCCCATCCCATGGGGGCTCAGCCCTCCTGCAGTGCCAGCTGTGGCTCTGCTGGAGCAGGGATCCTGCACAAGGGGGGAGTTTTCCTCTGCAGCTCCAGGGCTGCTGGAGATGGGCCTGGGCTCCCTCTGGCCATGCAGGGCAGCAGAAGCTGCTCCTCTGGCAATGCACTGGGCAAAGGCTGCTGGGCTGTGCCAGCACCTCAGATTGGATCCAGGGAGGAATGCTTGGCTCCTGCCCTGGGCAATGCAGCATCTCCCCATGGGATGCTGGGATTGGATCAGCCCTGCAGGGACACTCAGTGGCCATGGACAGCAGAGATCTCCTGGAGGGAGGATTGGCTGTGGGAGAGAGAAAGAAAAAACTGCCCCATGGACAGCAGAGAACTGCCCCAGCTCTGACAGATGGGAATAGAACACACACCCCCTGCTACATTTTCCAACTTAAAACAGTACTGATGGTGTTTCGTGGTCTCACAGGAGCTCTGCTGTGCCCTAACTCTGCTCCCTGTCATGGCTGCTGTGTCCCCAGGATGTTTGTTGAGAGGTGACAGGCAGAGTTTCTTGCTGTAGCAGAGTTCTTGCTGCTCCCCCCTCACCCCCGAGCACAGACATGCCCTGGGTGGGAGGCTCTGAAGTTCCTGTCCCACCTGAAGGGGCTGTGCCTGCCCCTGCTTGGGTGGATTCTCACTTGCTGTCCATCCCAGACTGAGCAGGTCCTGGGAACTGCAGGACTGATGTGTTTCTGCAGCCCCACAAACTGGAAATTTTCCACAGTAGCTCAGAAGGTTCTTCCATGCACATCCAGAAAAGCTGTGGAAAGAAAGGTAGGAAAAGGCTACAGGTAGGAATTTGCCCAAAATCCAAATTTCTGGAAAGGAAGGGAGAGTGGCATCTGTTGGCATGGCTGGAAGCTGGCCATGTACCTCCTGGCAGGAGATGTGCTGAGGTGACCATTCCACAGCAGAACAGATGATTCTGACCTCAATATGCATTGATGCTGTCAAGCTTTCAGCAGGAGAACACTTGATTCCCTCTCTGTGCCACCCTGTGGGGACCAGCATAGCCTTACTGCATGATCCCTGTGCTTCTGCTCTTCCCCTCAAAAAAAATCATCAATTTTCTACTATTTCAAACTGTGATAATTTGGGGCAGTAGAATTATTCCTAGGAGCAATAGAAGAGCAAGTTAATTTTTGCTTTTTCTCTGTCTTTCTGACAAGAAATACTCTGTTCCTTCTCTGCACAGGTGGCAACTTTTGTGGGCCCAGTCACTGCCATCCCAGTCCTCCTGTTCTCTGGGTTTTTTGTCAGCTTTGATACCATCCCAACATACCTCCAGTGGATGTCCTACATTTCCTATGTCAGGTACTGCTGGGGAGGCCTTCACCCTCCCATCTGGACATGCTGCTTGTTTGCCTTTGCTTGCTTGGTTATTTTGGGTGCCAAAAGGACTGTTCTCAGCATGTTCTCTTAGAGTATAAACATACTCATACATGTGATGTAAACCACATTATCTCTCTGCATTTTAAGTTGTTGGTGTGAAATAAATAGGAACAGGTTGCTGGCCACAATTCCATGTCAGTCCCTTTGAATTCAGTGGGATTGCACAGCATGAAAATCTTCCTGGATTTTGCAGTAGTGGATGTATGAAATAATGGGGCATCACCAACTGAGAAATTGATGCCAGCACCTCATTTTGGAAGAAAATGTATAATTCACTGCTGTATCCTAGATAGGTTTGTTGGATAAGGGCCTGGCTTTAAGTTTTGCAGTAGCACTGCCACAAGAGGATTTGTGTCACCTCTAATTTAAACTGCTGCTTTAAGATCCATAGGCACCTTATAGTGCCTGTGCCTGTGTCTGACTCAGCTGTCTTAGGATGGGGCAATTCCCACCAGGAAACCTCTGGAGGGATAGTTTAGACTAGAGACTGAAATGTTTTTAGCTGCAATTAGGAGAGGGGAATTTTCCCACTCCCCATTTCCCCACTCTGCCCAAGCTGCACTGTTACTGAGAAATTCCAGGAAAAAAAAATCCTCTTTGTTGCCAAGTGAGGTCCTACACAGATTCCTATCAAAGATAACGAGACTGCACCCCCTGAATTACCACTTAGAATTCAAGGTAAGGCCTTAAATCATTGCCTGGCTCATGTGGGCTCTCCTGAAGCCAGAGGGAGCTTTCATAGGCATGAGATCCATGATGGTTTATCTCCTTGCAAAAGCAAATGCTGGGAACATTATCAGTGAAACTGTAAATGTACAGAGGGAAGAGAAGGGACATTCTAGATTGATGCTGGTTTTAACATTTTTCTGACTCCAAGCCATAATTGTATCCCTGTTGCTTGTTAAAAGATTTAAAAAGGCAAAATAATGATGTCACTTTTAAATGGGGAATTTCTGAATGTGAGCTGAAGTCATGCTGCTTTCTGAATTAACATTTTTCTCTTGGAGAGATTGCTCTGTGCACCAACTGGAAGCATCAAAGGCAAAACTCCTGCCCTTGTTCCCTCTTACATAAAATGCCTGTGACACACGATGTGCCTGATTGCAGCAGGGAGAGAACTTGCCCCAAGACAGATGTGTCAGGGCAATATTGAACCCCTCAGCGTTTCAGCTGAGCTCTCACAGGGATTGTGTTGCACTTCTAACCAGATCATCACCAGGATTTTCCTTGTAATCCCTCCTTCCTCTCTCCAGGTATGGCTTCGAAGGCGTCATCCTCTCCATCTACGGACTGGATCGAGAAGATCTGCACTGTGACAAAGATGACACCTGCCACTTCCAAAAATCAGAGGCCATCCTGAAAGAACTGGATGTAGAAAATGCCAAACTTTACCTGGACTTCATCGTTCTTGGGATTTTCTTCTTCTCTCTGCGCCTGATTGCCTATTTTGTCCTCAGATACAAAATCCGAGCGGAGAGGTAAAGGAGAAGCAGCTGAACCGAGGCAGTAGGAGAACTTTAGACATCAAATAGAGGGCACTTGACATTGTCTCACTGTGGCAGGCTGGTCCCCAGGCTGGGGACAGCCAGATGCTGTCCTGACCGAGCCCATGGAGAGCCACAATGGGATAGTGGACATCCAGTGTTAAGCCAATCAGTCCAGTTGGGTTGGGTCATGTTCTCATTACACTTTCTAGCTTTAACTAGGAAGAAGAACTAGAAGGGAATTTTACACCACAGGGTATCAATACAGAGGCAATGTAACTGTCACAAGAAACCTGGCTGCAGGAGCTTTCCTTATGAAAACCAATTTTGGGATAAGGTCACCAGGATCCTGGTGGCCAGAATAGTGTAATGTCATCTCTAGTTGACAAGGTAGTGCGATGCAAAATGAGGAATGCAAAGAAAATAGGATTATCTCATCTTTTTAAATTTCATCTTTGCAGTTTTCTATGTATTATTTTGCAATTCTTTTCCACAGAATTACCCCCTTCTGGCTAAAAGTCTGTAAATGTATTAATAAGGTAAAGATATCTTTTTAATATGGATACTTTTTTAAAAGAAACCTAAAGTGATTCAAGTAATTATTTTTGTTTCTGTCTGAATTTAGAATTCTGGTGCTTTACTTGTCGAGCTGGTCTCATATCTGAAAACTGTAATGATAGGAGGAAAAGGCAGATTCTGAATCTGCACTAAACCTGTGGTCCCATTTGGAAGCAGCACTGGATAGCACATGCAGTTAGACATGGTCAAGCTGTCACTGAATGGTTGAAAAAAATATTCTTTTGCAGTGTCTTTAAATCCTTAGTATTTGTGATATTTTGGGATACTAGCTCTGTTCATTATCTGTTTGATCTACCTCCTGCCACTGAAAAAAAATCAAAGCACTCCAAGGCTTATTTTTAATTAAATTGTGCAAGCGGGATCTGTCCCTAAAGCGATTGTTAAAGGAGTGCAAGAGCTGTCCACGGATTAAAGCTTGGGCTGCTGTGTTAAAACACCTGTGACTGCCTCATCCAGAGGTGTTCATTGTATCTGCAGCACCCTCTGTGTGGGACCCTCCCAAAAACACACAAATCACCTTGAAATGCTGCAGCTCTCATTGTGCCAGGCAGTTTTGTTCTCATCCCTAAGTCTACCTGCACAACATGAGAATCAATTGATCTGAACACCAATGAAACTGTTATTTTGGGTATCTCACCTCTGTAAATTTGGCAGGGGGAATTCTGGTTCCAAGCTGATGTGAATTTTCTCACTGATTTTCATGGGTTTGGATTTTCCACCCAAAATGAACCCACCATCCTCATGTTGGACACCTTGGTGAGCTTTGGTGCAAATTGCAGGGCTTTCTGCCATGACTGTGAATTTATCTGGGTGTCCCAGACCCCTGAGTGAGGCCTGAATGTTCTGTAAATGCATTATTCCCATCAGGATGCTGAACTTTTGCAGGTTGGAGGCAGCTCAATGTCAGCAAACCCTCGAGGAGCCCAGCAGCTCATGGCAGCAGGGTCGATAAGAGGGACCTGGGGCATCTTCTGGCTCCCAGCAGTCAAAAATTCACAAACTTTTCCAAGACTCTGTGGCTGTGTCTATCCTAGTGGAACAAATAGTGCCAGGCCCAGCTCTATCAGCCCTCAGACAGCTGGGGTTAACAGGAATGGCCCCTGCACTGACTTTTACACAGCCCAAACACTGGCTGCAAAAGCTCTGGCTCTGCTGGGCTGCAGCTTTCCCATCTAGCAGGGAAGAAAATTGTTTCCCAGTTTTCCTGGCCCGTGCCCAGGCTCTGTTTGATTTACCAATACAGACACAGACTGCATGTATCTGTTAAACTCAGGACATCTGAACTAAGCCTGGGGTCTGGAAGGCTTTAAATCAAGTCCCATGTTTTAGGAAGGCTAGCTGAACTTTCCCTGAACATAAGGTTTACCTGTGAAAGCAAAACCAGTCTTTACTGTAGAAGAAAAACCCAAATTCCTTGCATGGCCTCTTTACATAATTTTTGTTGCTGTTCTTTCTCAGAAAGGTTTTGTACAGCTCTGCAGCTTTTCCAGGCATAATCACGAGCAGGTACAAACCTATATGGCTGTCAGATTTGAGAAATAAAGAATTTGAGCTATTCCAAACAATACTCATAGCTGTGAGCAGTTCTTAAACAAGGCACAAGCTGCAATCCCTTCAGCACAACGTGCCTTGGTTATTTCAAGACTCACAACATATTTGAGACTATAACAGGCACTTCAAACACTTCTTGCAAGCAGACAAAGACATTTGCCAAATTCCTCTTGGGTTGCAGACGTCTGGTCCAGGCTGAGCTCAAAGAGTGTGACATCCCTGGCACTGAGTACTTTCAGGGTTGATGTTTTTTGTGTTTACCAGCTCCATTTACCAAATACACCCTGGCAATCCCTGCAGTGCTTCAGCTGAGGTGACTTTGCTCCATTCCCACACTGGCATCTTGCAGGATGCTTTTCTCTCCCATCTAGACCACTTTAGCTGTATGAATTCCTTGGATGCTGTCTTGTTATCTGTGCCTGTTCCTCTGGTTTTAGGCTGTCTCATTTTATGTTTTTTAGCCTCCAGCATGTGCTCCTTTACTGTAACTTTGTGTGTTGTGTTATGGCAGCCAAAAATCTGGTCCTCCACGGGTGTTCCTGAGAAAATTCCTGCTCTGGGAATATTTTTGTCACTCTTTTTTTGGTTAGATATGCTTTTTCCAGCCTTATGCTGGCAGCATTTAGATGGAAGTTACTATTCTTAGGAATGCTTTCAGGCTGTAGTATCCCAGTAAAGAAGTAATTCTCTGGAGACTCAGTGATACACATAGATGAGATAATAATTTTTTCTCTCCCTAGCTCACAAATTAACTGATGATCTCTCTTTTGTCACTGCTTTGGGACAGAAGCATTTAAAATCCATCCCAATTATATCTTCATCTACTGCAGAGATTTTTAATGTAGTCTCAGGTTGGCTTTTTTTCTCTTTATGTGGAGATAAATTCTAACAGGCTGGTAAAAAACACATCCCCAGGTTAATGGGCTGAGCAGGTGCTGTTGTGTTGAGCAGCACTTTGTGAAGCTCTGGAGGCTTCACTTGGAAGAATAACAAGGCCAGCAAGATTCTGAAGGCTTCAAATGTTTGATTTTCAAGTCCTCAGTTTTATAGCCATATATAAAGAGCCATAAACTCTCTGAAATCAATGCCACTTTTACCAGTGGCACAGCCACTAAAAGTTGTCACAGCCTGGCTAAAAGTTGTGTAAGAGGCTGAAGGTTTCACTTGAAAACTGAATGTATTATTTTTGTGGGAATTGCAGGAAGACTTTAATGTCCTCTTGGCCTCCTTGTTCTATTTTGACTTGTTTTGAGGTGTTGCTTTGGTTACTGTGTGCATTAATTAAGGCTTTAGCTCCTTCACAATTTTTTTGTTGTTTTTCTTCATGGAAACTTACATATAACCTGAAAAACCCTGAAGGTTTTTAAGAATAACTTGGAGCATTATTATTTACAATTAAATAAAAGATTTGAAAAGCAGATTCTACTCTTAAGAAATTGAGAAGGTTCCATTGTTGCAGGTCAGAATCAGAGGCCATCCTGAAAGAACTAGATGTAGAAAATGCCAAACTTTATCTGGTCAAAGGGAGTGGAAGGGCACTGGTGCTGAAATCCTCTTCAGCTCTCAGAATTTGGAGCACAAAGCACCTATTTTAATTAAAAGAGAGGAATATGTGCACATGTAGCAGGGAGAGCTGGTTATGTAAGTGGGAGATAATGAGCTTGAGTCCAAGAACTGGATGTCTCAGGTGATTGACAGTTCTGTCCACACTTCTGTGTCAAACTCAGTGTTCTCAGCAGAAAGGAATGTTTTATTAAACACTTGTTTCTGTGAGGAAGTGTGGTACATCCTGACCTGTGCCACCCCAGTGCTCCTCATAGAGGTGACCTATTTGCACAGTGCTGGGTGGATTTTGGGGTTCTAAGCATTGGGGAAGGCCAGCACAGCAGATATCCTGGTGGGAATCTCTTCCAGACCACCCAGCCAGGATGGAGAGGCAGGTGAAATGTTCCATGGGAAGTCTTGAGACCAATGCCCCTTTTCCTGTGGGAGACTTTAACTTGCCAAATGTCTGCTGGAAATACAGCACAGCAGAGAGGAAAACAGCCCAGGAGGTTCCTGGGATGTGTGGGAGGTAATTCCTGACCCAGCTGGTGAGGGAGCCAGGCCCTGGTGATGCCCCACTGGCCCTGTGTGTGAGCAGAGAAGGGCTGGTGGGAGATGGGGTAGCTGGAGATGCTCTTGGGCACAGGGAGCACAAAGTGAGAGGTTTTGGTTCTTGGGGAGAGGTTTTGAAGTGAGAGGTTTTGGTTCTTGGGGAGAGGTTTTGAAGTGAGAGGTTTTGGTTCTTGGGGAGATGGAGGGGTGGCAGCAGAACTTCTGCAGGGCAGACTGTGCTTGAGAGCTGGGCTGGCAGAGCCCCTTGGGAGGCAGCCCTGAAGGGCTGGGAAGTCCAGGGAGACACAGAGATTCTTAAGAAGGAATCCTAAAGGCACAGCAGGAGCAGGACATCCATGCCCATGGGCCAAAGGATGAGCCAGAGGGGCAGAAGGACTGGCCTGGCCAAGCAGAGAGCTTTGGCTGGAACTCAGGGAACAAAACAGGAACAAAACAGGGAACAAAACAGGAACAAAACAGGGTGTTTGACCTTTGGAAGAAAGGGCAGGCAGCCCAGCAGGACTACAGGGACACTGTGAGGTTATTCAAGGAGAAATTAGAAGGGCCAAAGCCCAACTAGATCTTAATCTGGTTGCTGCTGTGCAAAAGACAATAAAAAATATTTCTGTGAATACAGCACTAAGGAGAATTTCCATCCTTCCTTGGATTTTCTTTATTTCCTACCAGAACAGCCCCATAGGGTGCAACTGCTCAGGAGTTTCTGTGTGCACATCCATTTATAATGTATGATCATGTGAAAAGCTGTTGGGAACTTGAAGTAGGCAGAAAATGACACCGTGTCATGTTCTCTGTGACAGCCTGTGACAGGCTGATCACTGCAGTGCCACACAGCTCTGGGGAGTGCATGCATTAAGTGCTGAGTGCCACTGGAGTTAATCAGAGTTAATCAGGAGCTCTGCCATTTGTCAACAGGGGCAGTGGCGTTTTCAGGGACCGACTCCTGCTGCCCTCCTCCCAAATTCCTGTTCCCATAATGCACGGAGGGGTTGGTGTGGGGTGTC